AATAAAAGTCATTATAAGCAATAAAACATATTAACCAATATTTATGCAAATACACGCTCCAAGGCACGATTAACTAAAAAACTCATCGTTGGTTGGGTTAAATTATTTTTTAATCAAAATCATACCACATATATTTCCAAAATGTCCCATAACACAACAATATACATTTTCCAAACCAAATACACTATAAATGCATTTATCAACAAATAATCTCAATTTATAAGATCGATTACCAAAAGAACCCACAATTTCTTTTGTTTATCAAAATGTTCAAAAATATATACTTCTCAATATTCTATAAAATCAAATGTGTAAAAAAGATGCAAATCTATCAAGTAATCAACAACATTTGATAAATCTTAAGGTAAACATTTCAAGGCTCCAAGATAAATATTTTTGGCGTGTACAAAGTTTTCACAAAGTAATTTGAACTCAGTTTGTTAGGTTATGTTAAATCTAGTTTTTCAAACCCATCTCTAGCTTCCAAGTGGCAAAGATTTTAGATCCACAAGCAAATCCCACCAAGGAAACCTCACATGCACTACTAAAAAATGAGTTTCAACGGTGACATGTTTATGTTGGGATACGGGAGCCATACACTAAGCGATAAATGTACCCCTGCGAAGATCCATATGAAACGGGGTAGGATGGGTGTTCCACAAATTTACCGTTTACGATCAACAACCCTTTGATGTTGTATCTAAATCTAGCAACGAACTCGGTGCCTCAATGGGATCCATGCAAATGCACCGAAACCTCTTGTCTTCCTACATCAAGAGAGGAGGTCCTCTTTCTTCCCAAACGCTAGATACGATTTCCAACTCCTTGGAAGAAGAAAGCAGGAGTTTTCGATGGAGTATAAAGAGGGAGAGGATCCTATGAACACTCCTAGCAATCCTTTTTCGTCCGATGAAAACAACCAGCACCTTTCAAAAAGGCATCCCTCTTTATATGTGTAAAAATATAGTGCTTATCTCATAGGCACATGGCAGGAAGAGTGGCACGTAGATAGAGAAGATCTCACATCTTCTCTAACCCTTTTATTTTTCTTTACACAATGTATAAAAGACTTAACAAGTTTCTACTTGTCAGGTCCCATCCACTTTTGTCTAACAAATAAGATAAAACCGGAATTCATCTTTATGAATAGGATATAATAATTAAATACCTTATTTGATTATTTTCTCTCCTTATTCAAATATATGTTTTATACTTGTGACCTATTAGGATTTTATCATGTTGGAAATAATTATAAATCCTATTTATATTTATAAACGAAGAGCGGCATCTAGCAATACATCATCGTTATCCAAATGATAAAAATTGGTGATTCAGCTAATCAGCAAACTGTGTGATCATTATTAGTGTACACATTTATGTCCCTTTGTTCAGATATCCAGATTGAACATGAGGCATGGATGTGTCAGCCTTGTTATGTTCGATCCTTAGTTTCTCGATTCCGGAATATACTGATAAGACAAATATCAATATCTTGTACTAATTATCAGTATCTTGTACTGATCATCTGAGCATGCATGCACTTCATCAATACTATTCAATCGAGGGGCCTAGGGATATCTCTCTCTTCATACAAGATGAATAAATCATATCTTAATCCATGCTAGTACTATTAAGTGATATATGATATACCCAACAACAACTCTATCACCCAGTTACAGAATGATTTAAATCAATTATCAAAGTACACCACTCACAAAAAGCAAACTACATGATCTCAAGTCAAAGTACTAACTGTACAACGACCACATAAGAAAGGTCTAGGACACTCATGTGACATCCAATGAAACGTTCTCATAACGAGTCACTTCCGATACAAGATCCCATCTTGTACCCATATGTTGATTATGTATCTCTATATGAGTCCCTACATATACTAATCGTATCGTATTAGTTCAACCTAAATCCAAATTAATACTTGACTAGGAACATTTTAGAATACATTATTTTAAGGTTATTATCACGTCTAGATATAAACAAAATAATCCATAAACATAATAATTGGGCAATGCCTTTCGTTAATAAATAACATGACATAATGTTCAAACAAAATAATCTAATGATTGACTTTTGGGCATATACACTAATAGTCTCAACAAGAACCTATTGCGACGACATGTCATTATAAATCGTTCGTCACGATAAATTGACTTTTATCAACAAAAAAAGTCATTGCTGAAAGCAACAAAAATGGTCATTGTTGAAAGACTTGTTTCTTGTGGTGATGACTAATAACCAAGTGAAAGAGACACCAAACATTAACCTAAACTTCAAATCCACCAAAAACCCAAACAAATATCTCAAAAAGCTTACCTCTTCAAACTTGCAAGGTCTAGACTTAAACCTTGAAATATCTAAGTTGGATATCCTCCAAAATGCTCCTAGAGATCTTCTCCACCTCAAGGAAACCTAAATCTAAGACATAGATGGAGGAAAAGGAGAGGAGATGAAGAATACTCAAAACCCTACCTTATAGAGGAATGAGATGAAAAAGTTACCTTTCACAAATATTCCAAAATCCCCCAATAAGCTTTAATCCTCTTGAACTACACTTGGATAGCTTCAAAAATCGAGTTCGTAGGCTCAAAAATCACCAAAATCGGGTAAGGGATGAAGGAGTTATGGCAAAATGAAGAAAACCTCAAAAATTCGGATTTTAAAGGGTTGCATGTCATGCCCGTGTTTTTCCTCGCTTCAGGGGCATGAAAAAAGTTGCCCAAAAATGAATAATTTTTTTTGCACCAAGCCTAACCACTTAAAGGTGATATTAAGGTTTATTTTGAAGTCAAAGATGCACCGAAAATATATGTACTAAAATCTGGGTGTTACATTATAAATATCATAAATATGTACGAATCTATACTTAAAAGGCCTTAAACAGTTATGTGAAATCTATACTATATTATAAAGAGTTTTAGTTTCAATTTTCTTAAATTTTTAAGAGGTACAATTTATTATGTTGAATATACAAGTTTAACAACGATCTGTTTTAAATAGTTATCATTGAATTTTAGGAGGGATAAGTCAATATGCTTAATTTACAAGTGTGTGAACTTTCCCCTTGGGAATAACTCTCCTTAACCCATGTCCCCCAAACCATTCCCTTAGAACCAGACCCTACCCCACATCCCAGAAACTCCTACTTGCCTGACGATTCGCTTTTTCAAACTACAACACCCAATGATAGATTCATCTCTCTCTATTAATTTTGAAGTGCCATGTCATCCGAGTGTTCTTGGACACTGTTCCTGCACAAAAGGGACGGTTCCAGGATTTCTAAGCGAACCTGACTGTGATTCAGGTTTGTAAGATGGAATTGGAGGTATAGCAGGGAAGGAACTTTCATTTTCCCAGTGGAATCACTTCTTGAAGCAACCGGTGATGATGAGAAACATCTTACAGAAACAAGTGACTGATTTTACTTTAATTGCTTCTCCGCCATCAACAAATTGAGACCAACATGCTAATGCTATCATGATATGTGAATAGATAAATAATAGAGAATTCAAAGAAGGAAGTGACACAAATGTGTGACTTTTGACTTCATTCATAACTGCAATAGAAATTAGAAGCCTAAGTGCACTCAACTTAGAATCTCCATTGAACATGCAATTTAAAAGCCTCAAGTGATTTCTTTTCTCAATTTCATCCTGACCCACAAATCTGATGCAATATGGTGATTGCCTCCTATTGTTTTGATTTATGGTTTTTCTCTTTTGTTAGAATTCTTCCTTGTTTTGAGCAGCAAATGTGTGTATGTATCTGTATATATGTACGCGGTAGAGGATTGACCATCGGTATTCTTACATTGTAGGCACAAGAATTCATTACCAAAATCACAAAAACAATTGGTCCCACATGAAACCCACCTCCAAAGACACCAATGTAAGGAGTCATTCGTTGGTTGAGGCTAATGCACAATAATTATATATACGGATAAAGTCGTACGACACACATAATTGCATAGACTCTCATTTAGGGAAATGAACTAAATAGTAAAGTTAAAAAAACTTATGAAAAAATAAAGTATTATCAAGCTGGAAAGAAACAATCAATGATATAAAATATAATGAAAATAGGAATTACACAAACTTGACATCCCTCTTTTATATACTTTCGTTTTTATACTATTTTTGTAATTCCAATTTTCACCATATCTTTAATATAAAAAGGAAACGCGAAATCCAAATTTTTGTTTTAAAAATAAAGTTATTATTAATATCAATAGTCTATGAACGTAAATCTTAGATCCAACGTTTGTCAAAAGCCTAAACCATCAACAGGAAGAAAGATAAACAGTTTTGTTTAAAATGAAATCCCGACAGAAAAGAAACACATTTTAGACTTGATATCCACGAATACAGTAAAATACATTTTTTAATTGTTTCGTTTTATTCTGTGTGTGTCGATGTTATAATACGATTTTTGTGTAATTCCTTTAATTCAGTTTTTTCATTATAATCTAATTTGGGTTTAATAACGAAGTAATTTATTTTTGATTTAATAATACAATTTTTTATAAAGATAATAATTACATATTTTGTTAGAACTCAATGATTATTCTAATTATATTTTAGATTTTTTATATTAAAATGAAGTGTTTTTTATTTATTTGATTATATTTATCTACAATTAGTTACACAAATTCAAAATGAAGCTTCCATAAGTTGTATTTTCGTACAATTTACTTGTAATCTTAGATTTTAAATCACATGCATCAATAAACAGTATTTTACACATAAAAGATGGTGTTCAAGAAATATTTATCAAATGCTTTATAATATAATATACAGATAAGGACATATTCAAACAAGAAGGCTAAATTTCAGTAAAAGGTAAGAAAGAAATATTCATATGTAAATAATTGAGAAAACCCATTTGAAAGTGAATCTCTAACAGAGATTCACATATACATCTATAAACAGATTCACGTATAAACTTTTACTTAATCTTCCTTTTTTACCTTCTCACGATATTTAACCTTTTCATTTGAGCTTCTCACCACTACGAGCTAGAGCAGCCATCTAAAATGTGTATTCAATTTACATGTCTCAAGATCTATCTCTCAAAACATTCAAAATACTGAACAAATTTTATGCAGTGAATATAATATTCACAAGTCACAACCCAAGAAGGCCAAAACAAGTCTTATTTAACACACCAAAATAAATATGCTCAGTTTTTTTTGGTATAACTTTAAATTTCATACTTAAAACCTTCTGAGTGGATCAGTGGGCACATCAGCACAAAACTGTATGAAGCTGCAGTGTAGAGAAAGATCTACTTGAAAGAGCTGAAGAAATCGATCGTGTCAATAAGTCCTCGAACAAAATCATCAACGTCTTCTTTTGTATTGTAGAAATAAAGGCTGGCTCGTGCACTTGCGTTTATCCCCAGGTACCGATGGAGTGGCTGTGCACAGTGGTGCCCAGATCTAATGGCTACTCCATGCTGAACCATCATATATATTGGCAAATCATCAGAACCTACTCTTTGTTTTTCAGGTTTCTTTTTTTTTTTTTTTTTTAAGAAACTTCTTACTTAGATGATACGATGAACCAATTAGATTTGGTGGGCAAAGGAATCCGGGAACCATCCACAACATGACACGTGGCATATTCATCAAGAATATGGATGTGTTATTCATCATGAATGTCCGATTCATGAAATAGAATAGCACGTCCATATTCATCATAAATGTGTGATTCATAATGAATAACACTTCCATATTCATCATGAATGTGTTATTCATAATAGATGACACTTCCATATTCATGATGAATGTGTTATTATGATAAATATTCATCCTGGGACATGCCACGCGTTGTGGGCAGTTCCCGGGTTCCCAATCGATTTTGGTTCCTAACGAACCTCCCTCTAGATTTGGTTGATGATATGATACCATTTGCAACTAAAATGAGTGAGAATCCACAAAAAGAAACAACTGGATACCTGTTGATCAAGAAAAGTTGCTATATCTGTGGGATGAAGGCCCTCAACATTGAAGGAGCATAGAGCAGCACGATGAACGGTAGCTGAAGGTGTTGGTCCATAGATACGAACACCAGGGACTGTACGAAGGCTTTCATAAAGGTAATTAGCCAGATCTACCTGATAAACCAAATTAGGGCAAATGAATAGTCTGATATACATGCATCAAAACTATAAATAACTTCATGCCAATTATAGTAATCACAGCTAGAGAACATAAAAGAAAACCTTGAGGGGTAACTCAACTGGTTAGACCTTAGGTTTGCTCCCAGAACTCACCAGTTCAAGTCCCCTCGGAGCCATTGGAGGGTTTGTCTAGGTGTCAACTTCACGGTCTCATAGGATCAGTCAAGGTGTGTGTAAGTTGACTAGGACGCCCACGGTTACAAGAAAAAGAAACTAGAGAACATAAGCATGTTAAGCTTTTAAATGTCATGAAACTTTTACGTTTCGGTAAGTTCAAAAAAGAAAAATCATAGATCCAACTCGTAAATTTTTGTGGGTCCCGTAATGGGTCTTTATAAACTCGGTATGCTTCAAAGGCCGAGCAAAAGCACAATGAATTTAATATGGATGTAGTAACCTCTTGAAAATCAACATGTCATAAGTTAAATATATTCCAAACCTCAAGTATTTGAATGTAGGAAGGCAAAGCAGATGAAGGTGGTCAAGCAATAACAGACAAGGATCACCTCATAATCATGAATCTTTTGCATGCCGATCTCGGAAAGATAATCAATCGCTGCTCCCAAACCAATAGCTTCCCCAATTGCAGGTGTTCCAGCCTCAAATCTGAAACAATCAGAACTTGGAATCTAATATGCAGATAGTTCAAGTAGGTTAAAGTTGATGCAAACCAAAACTCGATGGATATTTTATCCTCTCCGCAACCACCCAGCCAAATAAAACAATACAAATCGAGTATATCCCGCTCAAAAGCTTCCTATCCAAACTAGCTACAGGCACTTCCCTTAATATCTCAAGTAAAAGGTGATTAAATTTAAGTGCAACCAACCTGGATGGAGGGTCAGCATAAGTAGAATGATCCAAAAACACATCAGATATCATTTCACCACCACCTGCAATATCAACCATAATTTATGTCCACTTTGATCAAAATTTATATAGTAAGACAAGACTTGAAATATTCCAAGTGGTCTATTACCTAAGAAGGGAGGCATAGCCGCCAAGAGCTCACTTTTTCCATACAAGAAACCAACGCCTGTAGGCCCACACATCTGAAGCATGTTTATCACAAACTAGCCTCAACCATTAAATATTTGTGTATGCATAGAAAGTAACTCACCTTGTGAGAAGAAGCGACAAGAAAATCAACACCAAGATTCTGGACGTCAACCACCATATGTGGTACACTTTGGCAAGCATCTACTAGAACTTTTGCACCAACATCATGTGCCCATTGGACGATTTCATTAATAGGGAGAACAGAAGCTACATAAGGAAGCAGTATTAGTGATACTCGATTCTTATTATTCATTATAAGCTTTCAAACACAAAAGTAATTGTAAGCCCGATGGTAAGTATAAACACAAACAAACAAGTACTTGTACGCTCTACCCCAGAAAAAGCATTGGGCAATGCTTTTGACACCTTTATCGGTCTCTGTGTGATCTTTACACCTTACAACTATGTCTCTCTGCTCCCTCAAATACAGACCACTTAGATTTTTTTAAGAGATCACCCAAACCCTTACATTAGTCTTTTCTATACTGTAGATCCACTCCAATATAGAACCAGATTTGTGAACAAAAGCCAAGAAATGAAAGATCATGCAGTTCCTGTTCACAAGCAAAGCCCGAAACAAGCGACAAACTCATTTTCTTTGGACATCGTGACATACATTGACGACTTAGAATTATATCAGAAAGCCTATAAAGTCACCAACATAGCAAAAAGTTTAAGCAGGTATATAAAAGGTAAAAGATACCGACGTATATATTAAACAAGAAAACTCTGTTTATCAGGAACGATAAGAAGAAGTGGGTGAGATTGGCATTTCCAAAGTATGAAATTTGGACACATCATGCATATTAACATACATATATGTTTATTTTTTAAAAGAAAATAGACAAATAACTTCACATAGAAAACATTATCAGAGTATCCGGGTTACTGGTAGAGCCCAGCCACCTTGGAGTTCAAGGGTTCAAACCTTATCAAGGTGAGGAGTGTGCGTGAGTATTTTTCTGTATATTAATACTATATACTTGTTATAAATACTAAACCACCTAGCTTCCCTATTTATGATTTATTTTCCTTCTTGTTTCCGGTATGCCAAAATCCTTCTCAACAAGCCTCATCATTGACAACATATTCAAGGGGTAAAAAAGTTGGTTCGCTCTATTCTGAAGGCCAAGACTTCCACAAGCAATAGAAAACATTCTAGAAGCCTTTACGAGCAAGAAAATGGAAAAGTGAAAAAAATGAAACATTATTTTCCATAAGCATGTATGGTTAAAACAGTTTTTATATAATTAAGTTTCATGCCATCTAGATAAGATAAACTTTGCAACCAAATTTTGCAAAAGATGATGCATCCACCATGCCCATTCATCATAAAGAGACATGGGTAATACGTACCGAGCATGTTTGAGACATGATGAACCACTACTAGTTTTGTCTTCTCCGAAACCAATTCTTGTAGCATCTTGGTATCCGGGACTTCATCTTCTGTTAAGCTGACAAACTTCAAAACTGCATCGGTCTTCTCAGATAGAAGTTGCCAAGGAACAATGGCACTATGATGTTCTGCAATTGTGAGAACTATCTGCAGGCAATATCGGATCAAGGCTTTAGCAGAGTACATATTCAATATCATAACATTGTCGTGGTCAGAAGAAAGTATACTAATTTCAAAGAGCATGGAATACCAAGATCTACATGACCAATAAGAAATGGTTGCAAAGCAACACATTTTTCGTGTGCTACTGCATAACCTCACTAGCTGTCAACATCATAAGACATTCCCAACTAAGTATCTTCCTAAAAATGGAAGTAACTAGGTAAGTATTGTTATACCTGATTCAACGTTATAATCAGTGCTTAGAATCTTAACAACATGATAAACATAAGAATTTACATAAAATTCTGAAAGATATATTTGCAGCTCAACATCTTTGTTTGGCCCATTATATCACTTTGCACATTATTTATTGCCCTCCTATAAATTTAATTTGTGATGCATTCCAAGAACCGAACCACTAAACAAATCCGCCAACACCAGCTGCATACATCCAACATCATGGAAGGGCCTTTGCTCCTGACATAGTGCACATATTACAAACCGGAAGCGTTTCCCATCAAACATGACCTCATGTCATTGTTGTAAGCCCTTCCATAACCGCAGCATTGTTGTCGCCAGCATAAGACTGTTGATCTAAAATAACCTACTCTCTGGCTATCATCTTCAGTGGCGGACCCAGGATTTTCGTCGAGCGGGTACACCTTTAAATTAGATCAAATTCCCGCAAAGCCGCTTGATGTGTTATTTGCCGACTTCCGCTTTCTAGAGATTTTTTAAGTTTTGTCAGGGGGTTTTTTAGTTTTTTTTTTGGGTTGAATTTGAGAGAATTTTTGGTTTTTTATTTGATTTTGAAAGAATTTTCCTCTTTTTTTGGTTGACTTCGAGGGACTTATTCGGTTTTTTGGGTTGACTTCGGATTTGATTCTCATTGATTAAACTAATTAGCATCAACAAGATAACAACTAAGGTCGAGAAAATTAGAAATAAGCTAAGAAATTAACATCAAATTAAATGTAGGGCAAAAATATAGGTCAAGATCAAAACTTAATTACTCAAATGTAAAAACTCAAAACAGACGAATTAACATAATAACTAATCAATTTAGGGTTTTCAATTTAATTTCTTTATCTTTCTTTTTCTAGGTAAGTGGGAACAAAAACCAATCGTTTAGGTAAGTTGTATTAAAAATTTCGGTTTAGTCCCTTCAGTTTCAAAATATTTAAGAACACCCTTCTATTTTTAAAAATTTCATAACAAAACCATTTAAAAGATAAAAATAAATAATTGCTACAAGGGAGACTCGAACCATTGACCTCCTAAAAGAGAGGCGCACCTTTACCAGATTACAGCAACCACTTCACCAGATTCATTTTGTTGATGTAATTTTGGTTCCAAAATATTTAAGCACATTTATAACTAAGCGGGTGCACCACTTTAACGTCTCATTTTTTTTCCTGTTGTGGTAATTGAGTGAGCGGGTGCACAGGACCCGCTCACCTCTTAGTAGGTCCGCCCCTGATCATCTTGTGTCCTCTGGCTGTTGTCAGTCTCCTGTGGCCAACCTCCCCTAACGCAGTGGCAGCAAAACTACGAAGTAGCAGACTTTCATGAAATCATGAGCAATCTCAAAAAACCATAGACCATAAATGGTGCATAACATTCATGACTTCCAGATCTCACTGAGCACCAAATTACTAGGGTAAAACAGTAAGGCCTCTTCACCTCCGGTGACTGGAAAAGATGTGGGATCTGCCTTTGTCGCTACTTGTTCCCTTGTGCCTTGCAACCACCACATTTTTATGCAGTTTGCTTTATCAACTATATGGATGTTTGATTCTCATTGACCTGTTGTGGAATGGGTTATTAATTTTGTGTTGAGACTTGAGATGAAAATAATGGAAAGGAATGACTTAAGGTCTAGGAGATGCATTACTTGGCTCTTTTAGTGCTTGAGGATTGATAATCTTCCAATTAGATTATGGGTGCTATAGGTTAGATACCCTACAAGTCATTATGTGCACCGGTAGAGATTTTGGGAGGGGAGGTTACTTTGTTCACAATTGACAAGGTTTCCAGAGTGGTTCTTACACTGCACTACTCCAAAAATTCAACAATGGAAGAACTCAATATGTTATGGTATTTGATGCCAGTCAGCAGTTCGCATATCAAGTTTTTGTGTTGCACATTCAGGTAATCCCACTACTCAAATCTGCTGCATCATCATGAATGAGCACCTCAAGTTTAAATAACATGGAAAAGTTAATCCTACTCTAAGTAGCTCCAATATTTCACACATGCCGACCTCTCCACATACCATTGTCAATTGGTAAAACTGCAAAGAAATTAAATGTTCACATCACTTACTTTCAAAATATTTTAAAAGCTCAAGTCTCGGGACAATTTGAACATGTCTTTTAAATGTTTTTCCCTCTAATGCATGTTTGAGTAAGAGTAGTCTTCAGAATATGTATAGGCAACTAAGGGGTTGTTCGGTTCGTTTTCTATTAAGCCCTGTATGGTGGATAAAGCTGTCTGTATTGATAAAGCTGTCCGTACGATAGCAGATAAGTTCGGTTGTTGTGCTGAATAAACACTCAGAACATTTTACCCCCAGTCTATATTTTTTTCTGAATAAACATCATATGTTAACACATTTATATATTAGCTACAAAAATCATCCTCAAATACCCATTAACCACTGTAGTATACTAGCAATCATGTTTACACCTGGTAATCAAGATCACAAATATCCAAAACTAAACATCTTAGAGGCATTTCTTTTCAACTTCTAATGTACAGCTTTTCTCAAAGCTCAGGGGTGTCTTTAGGAGTGCCAAGGGAAAACCAAAAAGTCCATCTTATCAGCAAAACCCGTCGGGTCAGAACAAGTAAAGAGAGAAATCGAAAACCTAGAGAAACAAACCTAGAAGAACAAACCATGGCAAGAAATCGAAAAATATAAGGGAGAAATTGAAAACCTAGAAGAACAAACTATGGCAAGAAATCGAAAAATATAGGGAGAGATCGAATATCACAGCTAGAAATCGTAAACCACGGCTAGAAATCTAAAACCATAGCTAGAAATCGGTAAACCACAGCTACAAATTGTAAATCATACAACTACAAATCGAAAATCATAGGAGAAATCGGTAGACACGATGAGCGCTGTGAATGGAAGCCTGAATGGGAACTTGGAAGCATGAACTGATGCTGGAACTTGCAGCATGTTAAAACAGGGTTTCTTTATTAAATGCCTAAGTCTAAACAAGTATTGGTTACCAGCTGAGCATTAAGTAATTGGCTGACCGAATAAGCCACAACCGAACGGGTATTTATGGCTGAGCGAATAGGCACATAGGCTATGCAGCCTATTAAGCCACAACAGAACAGGCCCGTAGTCATCCTTCTCCAGAGCTTTTGATAAATTTCAGCAAGGACTAGAGCCTATCTTCAGTTTAAATAGGGAGTCTTGTGAAATGGTGAAAAACATTCACCTTTCTTATGCACCTAGAAGCCAACAACTCTAGGAGTGTTCTGAACTTGTTCACTCTGACGTTTGGGGTCCATTGTCCTGTAAGTTCTATTAGGCATTTTAGATATTTCGTCTTTTTATGGATTTTCTGGAGGTGCATGGATCCACTTACTAAAAATTCATGTCAATGTCTTCTTAGGTTTTATTACCTTTTGCGTTGTGTTAAAAATGAGTTTGATGTTCGTGCTGATAATTTGTGCAGTCATTATAAGAACTACTCCCAAGATTTGCAAGATGTATGGATATAGTTGAGATGTTACATGACTCTCTATGTGCTTATATGGCAACAAGCTGGTACAGCTAAATCGAACAAGCATTGGTTTGAGGAGGCCGGTAACCATGTTGATTCTTCATGGCATTACTCCTCTATTTTTGGGGATGCTTCTACAACGAAGTTATTTTATTAATTGAATGCTTCCTACTAGATTGAAAGGAAAACACTTGACCTGTTGACCATATCTTATTTCCTACAAAATTTTCTTCTTGTTGATCCAGCTTCTTCGGTCGCAACTTCTATGTACATGATTTCATTTATGTTCAACTAAACTTGATGCTAGGTAAATGGTGTACCTTCATTTGGTATTTTAGGCCTCAAAAAGGTTTTTTCATGTTATAGGCCAAGTATGAGGGAACATTCTCTTTTGTTACTTATGTGGAGTTGGTCCTCTTCTTTCTTGTTCATATTTGTAGGGTCGAGTCTCTTGGTTATGTTCTGGATTCAAGAAGTCCTGATTGAGGTTGCTCCAATCCGTCCTATTGTTGTGACTAAAAGATACATTGAGACACCCCTAACATTACTACATTTGTTTTCTATTTGTCCCCGACTCCCATGAGACTAGGGTTAACCAGCCTCCTTCACATGTTCCGTCCCAATGTCTACCTCCTAATGATTCTCCTTGATACCCACCATAAAGAGAAAAAAAAAAACCTTGGTTCTCCAAGCATCAAATCCATCATAAGCAAACCAAGCTTGTTGAGGTGGATCACTTTGTCACAAGAAAGATGGTTCACACTTGTTTCAAACCTCCTTCGATTGAACCGATTTAAATGCATACCAAATATCAGGAAGCTGAATGAAGCCCCTTCAAATAGACCATATCAATCTTAGACATGGCAGGTTGGACACATCCATACATTAAATTGCCCTAGAGTCATATTATGCACAAGGTCTATAGACAATTAAAATTTTGCAATTATCTTTGAATCAAAAGGATTTGTCAATCTAGTATGTGTTTTTGTTTATGATGTAACCAGGCTCGTAAAGTTGCTACCTAATACTTGCCATTACAAGGATACAACTCATGTGCTAGTAGTATAAGGACCAAGTAGAAGAATGTTTTGCTTTACCCATTAATTCTGTAAAGCAGAATGATGGGTCCACATCATTGTATTAATAAAATTATTTACCATTAATAGAGGATGTTAATCATGTTATGAGACAAAATGTCTTGAAAACTACATACATTGTTGGTTTGCCAACAAATCTTGAAAACACCAATACCAGTTCCTTTTTGTTGCAAGTCAATGTGGAACTCAATGACCATAGTTGCAGAAAGCCCAAATAAATGGATGCCTCAATGAAATTTTTGTTCAAGAATAAGATGATTTGCTGCAAAAACCTAAAGGAAGCAAAAGAAGGAGCGGTTCTAGGAGCATTTACATGATAAAACTCTCAAAGAAAAAGGAATAAGTAAGACCAAACCTCATCTTTGGGTTGTAAATTAGACATGCCCCATGAGTAAGCTACAAGGTTAATAGCTTCAGTAGCATTTCTTGTGAACACAATCTCACTAGACTCTGATGCGTTTATAAAAGCTGCCACCTTTCTCCTTGCCATTTCATACTCATCCGTTGCTCTTGCACTAAATTCAAATAAAATATGTAGAAATGAGTTTCAGAGAACCTAGTAAAATCCCAAACAAGACAGTGACTGAGAAAGAGAGAATCTGATAAGCTACAAACTATGAAGAATTCCATGCCACATCTCACCTTTATAGATGATTTTCTATGAAATGTTGAATAAACTGATTGGGATATAATACCTTAAGAAATGAATCCCACGATGCACATTTGAGTTATATGATCTATAGTAGTTGTTTACAGCATCTATCACAGCAGAAGGCTTCTGCGAGGTTGCTGCATTGTCTAAGTAAACGAGTTTTGATCCATTGTTTACCTTCTGTAAGATAACGCGGATGATCATAAAAGGATTTCAGTATTTATCCATAATAATTTCTAAAGCAAAACATAGTCAGTTACACAACAAACAGAGTGAGGCAACAAGGGACCGTTCCAATTAAAAATTCCCTCTTCTCATACTGGGCTCCTGAAGTCACGAGGTCATGGCATTAATCTGATTTGATTCATATATAATCTCAAACTCAAAATTTTCAATAACAAGCATTTTCCCAAACTAATTGGAATGTGCTAAAATTGAACTTGATTTCAGATTTCAGGATCCAAAGCAAATTAATACTCCCTCAGATCCACAATTAATTTGGAGTAAAAGTAGCAAGACACCATTCTCAGGTCTACCACTCACAATGACTCATTCATCTTTAAATTTCTCAAAATGAACCATATCATGGAACGAAAGGGAATCGAACCATTTTCAAAGGTACTGCAAATTATAATGGTAGAAAATAATATTAGCTAAGAAGAAATATTGGTTGATGCATTCTTATTTATCAATTACTCCCTCCCTTCCAGTATAAGAGCTTCGCGAATTCAAGCATGTCAAATTCAAAATCGATTTGGAAGTTGTTGCTAATCAATAGTTGTCATAGAGTTCAACTAAATCAAATTTCTTTAAAAAAAAAATTAAGCCTATACAAAGACAATTTGAACCTGCAATATAACACCATGAAGAAAACCCAGAAGTTTAAAGCAATTACAGGTTAAGAGAAAGGAATTACATACCTGGTGGAGAATTTCAAAATCGTGTCGTGTGGAGTGTCCGAGAGAAACGGGGGCTGCCGCTGGAACAGAAAGAGAAGCTGTTGAAGAAGAAGAAGATTTGGGGAAAGTGAAACGTAAGTTTAGGGAGGTCCGATTAGTGAAATGGTTAGGGTTCATGAGTTGAGTAAAAGAAGGAAGCTTGAGAACCACTCCTTCCATTGTCATCATTGTTCTCTCTGTAAACTTGATAAGGCGGCACAAGGAATGTGCCTCTGCAACTGCAAGACGACTACAAAGGATTTAGACTAAATTACGTTTTTAGTCCCTATGGTTTCATCGATCTGTGTTCATTTATTATCCTAGTAGTCGCTGTGTGGGTCGGGTTTTTGGTAATCAATTCCTTTCTAAAATCAATTCATGGGTATGTATGCAGTTTAAAATGATCAATGATTCAGATATCTTCTTACACTTATTGCACGATCCTTTGTTGTTATTGTGTTATGTATTCCGTTTCCTTTTCTGTTAACATAGGATCATTATGGTCTTTTTATCATTTAATTTAATTATTATTAAAAAGTAGACAAAGTATAACTATTATTATATGTAACCCTTTGTTAACCCAATCCCTCCCCTTTCTCCTTCCTTTTCTTCCTGAGCTCACCACCGTCACCAACCATCTTACCAATTCAATCAACTGCATTTTTATTTTATTCAAGGCAAATATAGATGCACTGGTAACATGAGTAATGATACGAAAGACGTAGCTTATCGGAGCATAAGGCATTGGGTAATCAAGACACTTGCATGGACAGATTTTAGGGTATAAACAGATACAATTCGTATAAACATTGGTGTTAGGTAGCCTTGAACATTATAACTTGTATTTGAGCTTCCTTAAATCGTCAATGGTGACGATAAGCTCATTCTTTCTCAAGTTTTGTTGGGTCACAAGGATGGCAAAGAGCCAAATGTAAACATATAAACAACCCCATCAACAAAAAAAGTATTTGTTGAAAAATAAAATTATCAAAGGAACCCATCTTCACTGAAGCCTCATTTCCGGTAAACCCAAGAAAGCGGTAGCCAATCCCCATGGCAAGTGCACATCCAAATGATGGTGGATAAACCAAATACCTCTAATACTTTATTTACACCATTAAAAAGTGTGGTGTAATCTTAATAATTCCACCTAAATGATTGTTGTGTATTCCTAATAATTTCTAGCTAAGTGATTAAGGCTTTCTTTCAGTTGTTTATGATTTAAAAATTTTCAGTTGGCAAAAATATTGAAAACAATCTTCTTTGTCTTCGTTTAATCGAATATTGAAACCCTAAAAAATATCAAGACTGATGTTTGATTTGAAAGCGAAATGTTTGTAACTATTTGGGGAAAATCTCATTTGGCTCGATTGTAACTCCCTCGTATTTAGAACCTCCATTTGTAGGTCTGTAACACTGGGAAATTTTAAGTAAAATTCCCGAGTTTCATCTTTATCGTTATTTCGTCTTTTGAATAACTAACATCAGGTATCTGGTAGTTCAATTACGTTTAGGTATCATGTTAGGTATGGGAAGAGGCTCAAATCAGTGAAAAGAGAAAATAACCTTCAGTACAAGTCTTGTTATTATGCTCGACGATAGTGCTAGGGGCACAATAGCATGTCAAGATCCCCCCATATGTATGAACCCACAGTACATCTCGCCCTATAGTGCTAGTGATTGTGCCTGTGGCACTATAGCATGGAATGATCGCCAGGAACGTCTCCAACAGCATAAATGTCCGACTTTCAGCTTCTTTCCTCATTTACTCCTCTCATCTACCTCACTTCTTCTCCAAAATTGTACCAGGGTTTTTCATCAAGGTCAAGACCGAATTCTTCCAAGTATTTAAAGGTTTTGTGAAGTTTTCAAGTTAGGAGCAAGATCCAAGTTCATCACCTCCACTTCTAGGGTTTTATCATTTTTTCTAGGTTTTCTCTAAAAACCTAGTAAGTGAGTATTAAATATTTTGTAAAACTAGATACATACCTAAATGTGTTGTTTAATGCTATTCAAGCTTTAATTTCATATATGACATGTCCATTTGGTGATTTGAACTTCTATGTTTAGTGTTTTACATATATTTTGGGATAAAAGTTAGGTTAAGGTCATAATGATGATTTCTAGTATGATATATGCTTATCTGGAATGGTTTATACGAAACTTGATTTATCACCTTAATATATTCATGAAAATCATATTGGTGTTATTATTGACATAAAATTGTGGTATGTTCTCCAAATGCTAGTTGTATGATTAGGAACGAGGTTATAAGCTTATGTTGTAACTCTTTTATATGAGAAAATGGAAGTTGCCCAAATATTGATTTTGTTGGACATTTTCACTTCAGATTTATAAATGGTCGGATTACCAAGTAGGCACTAGAAAGGTTGGGTCTTGAGGTGATACCTTTGTGGTAGACACTAAGAACCACAAAGTTTGAGGTGCTACCTTGAGTGTAGGCACTAAGTTTTTGTGAGCCTTGAGGTGTTATCCGAAGAGATAGACACGAAATTCAACTTAATTTTGAGGTGAAACTTGTTAAGAGTCACTAGGTACTGAAACCTTATGATTATTTATGGATACCTAATCACATTGGATAAGGAGCATACTCTTGTGTTCCCGCTACATGGATAACGGTCTCCCTTGTTAATTCCAAAAGGAGATTATGTTTGGTTCGCAAATGGTTATCATTACTAATTGTTTTGTAGTTGCCTACTTTATGTTCATGCTCAATAGACTTTTTGGCCTAACACTTGTTTGGTATTGGCATGTATCTTAGGTTCAAAGGTGGGAATGCATAGGCGGTTCTTTACCCATCTGAGGGATCATTTTGAGATGCCATTGTTTGAAGTATTTTGGTGGTTTAGATGACACCCAAATGTAATCTTATTTTTTTAAGGAATTAGTTTAGGAGGTTGTTATCCTCAAACCCATTTGTTACAGTTGTAATTAACTGGCGTTTTTAAGTTCTCATTTTTGGGATGACTGGTATTTTGATATTTTAATACCACATTTTCGATTTATTTGGAAATTTTTATTTTTCCATTTTTGGAATGTTACAAGTTGGTATCGAAGCTATAGTTAAGTGAACTAGATATGAACCTAGATGCCTAGACTTAAGATGTGAAAAGTTAGTGGTAAATTATTTAGCCATGGGTAGAAGTTTAGGACTGGAAGAGTAGTGGGACTTATGGAGATACGCTAATTGAGAGTTATAACGATGGTAACGAGAAATCTCGTGTGAGATATATTCAAAGTCTCATGTGGCCCATGCTATTATGAATATATTATTACATGATCATGCTTGAAATTCTTATTGTCATGATGATTAATGAATTTAGTAGTACGTCTCAAACCATTAATTTTATAAAGAATTAACCAGTATGATCTTTGCCATGTGTATGACAGTTCATCATGGTAAACACTCAAAGTAAGCAAGTAACCCGAGATAATGCTAATGAGGCTAGTGTGATGGCTCGAGAACCACTAAGGCAACCAAGACAAGTCACCAACATGCAAGAACCCCCAATTTTGCAAATGTTAACTAGTGTAATTGATGTTGTACCACAAACAAACCTAAACCCCGACACCCTAGTTGTTTAAGAGATGGATACTTAGTCTGTAATGATGGCCAATATTATGCAAGCAATGAACTTGGCTATGGACATACAGGAAGATAGATTGATGAAAATGTTGGAGGACAGGGATGCAAGTAATCAGAGACATGAGATCGTCGTGGAAAATGCGGTGTTTGGTTCTGGGGGTTTGTTAATGCTAATGGCACCGAAAAGCAAGCAGCCATGGGCATTAGAAAAGTAGAAAAATATGCTCTTTTAAGACGTTCTTATGTATCGAGCCACCCGAGTTTTCAGAACTACATATCTAATTCGATGTATGAGTTGGATCCAAGAGATTGATCAAGCCTTCGATTCTAGTGAGTGTGGAGAAATACAAAAGGTAAGGTATGCATCCTAGATGTTTAGGGGACAAGCCCTAAGATGGTGGAATGTCACCAAGTCCACCCTTGGACCAACCATTGTCCCACTTTTGACTTAGGAGGTCTTTTAAGAAAAAATATTTGACAAATATTGTAATGGAAAGGCATTAGACCATATCAAAGATGAGTTTTGGGCTCTCAAGGAGGGAGACAATATTGTGGTAAACTATTCAAGGATTTTTATGGAAAAGCTCGACCTTGTGGGCCATCTAGCTATGAATGAGAAGGAAAAGTTCAAGGCTTACCTTAAGGGCTTACCGACCAAGATAAAAAGCCCATGGAAGAAGCCCAACTGACAGAACATGATATAACTCAAGGCAAGGAACAGTGAGCTTTGGTTGGTGACGAGAGAAAGTGGGAAGGGCCACCGGGGCCCGCAAAGAAGTTCAAGATTTTTTCAAGTGGAAGAAACACCGACTCTCGTTTAGAGGTAAAGTGGTGCTTTAGGTGTCAAAAAATCACTATGGCCCATGCAATCCAAACATAAAAGAATGTTTCAAATGTGGAAAGTTGGGCCATCTAAGCCGAGATTTCTCCATTAAAGGGGTTGTGTGTTTTGAGTGTCATGAACAGGGGCATGTCAAGAAGGATTGCCCAAAGCTAAAAGAATAGAGTATGGGAGTTTCAAGAAGGAGAACCAACCAAAAGTGACATATTGCGCATTCAAAATGACTATCGAGGAGGCAAAGGAGACTGCCAAGGTGGTGTCAGGTACGTTCCTAATTAACTCTTTCCCTGCACGTGTCTTGTTTGATTTAGGTGCAAATTGTTCTTTTATGTCGAACTCTTTTTGCAAACAACTTGTTATCCCGGTTGTCAACCTAGTGGAGGCCTTAGTAGTAGAAGTGGTGAATGATGATCAAGTTTTGGTTTGTGAATGTTATGAAAATTGCATGTTATAAATTGATGAAAAAAAAATTCTCGGTAAGTTTGTTGCCCATGTCCATAGGTGGGTTTGATGTGGTTATAGGAATAAATTGGTTGGTCAAGAATCAAGCAAAAATCTTTTGCTCTAAAAAGATGATTCGAGTACCCTTTCCAAGTGGGAATTCAGTTACTGTGTACGGAGAAAGAAGTATAGGGTCTATCGCAATTAATTTTTATATGTTAAAGGCGCGCAAATGTCTATCAAGGGAATGTTTCTCATACTTGGCTTATGTTCTAGACACGAAGTTGGAAAAGAAGTTAGAAGATGTTGAAGTGGTTCATGACTATCCAGATGTTTTCTCAGACAATCTACCCGGTTTACCACCAGAACGTCAAGTGGAGTTCTGTATTGACCTTTATC